GTGTGCCTATTAGATTATGGGTTTGCATCAATTGTTGACAGAATAAAGCACAATTTAACAAACAATAAGTGAGTCACGAGACATGCATGTTGATATTGTCTGAGACACCAAGCAGAAATTCAGGACCTGATGAATATGCTTTTCAGTGCACGTTTGATGTATGCCACGTCGCTGATATGCCCGTACGCCACGTGGCTGATATGCCCGTACGCCACGTGGCTGATATGCCCGTACGCCACGTCGCTGATATGCCCGTACGCCACGTCGCTGATATGCCCGTACGCCACGTCGCTGATATGCCCGTACGCCACGTCGCTGATATGCCCGCACGCCACGTGGCTGATATGTCCGTACGCCACGTCGCTGATATGCCCGTACGCCACCCGATAATCAGATTAGCCCAAAGGACATGCATGCAGACAGTACATTGCCATGCCCCTCCTTGTCCAGAGCTTAACCTGGAAGCTATAGGTGCAAGACAGGAAATTACCCAGGATGGGGCATTAACCCATCACAGAATAATAATAATAATAATAATAATAATAATAATAATAATAATAATAATAATACATGGATGCTTGAGACATCCTGCTGGGTATCTAGCGAATGAAATGAGCTGAGAGCGGGACAGTCTGCCTGAGACAGAGGCTGTGCGGTGGGAGGAGCTTCACCTGCGTGGCGCTGAGCCCCCTGAGCCCCATGAGCCCCCTGAGCCCCCTGAGCCCCCTGAGCCCCATGAGCCCCCTGAGCCCCCTCCCCAGGCTGGAGGCCTCAGTGGGCTAAAAAACGAAAGCGAACAAATAAAAACAGAGAAAAATGACCATTGTTTCGATAAGCAGTGCGTCATAGCACTGATAACCTCTGCACTATAACATATGTACAAGTAAGACAGTTCATCTGATTCAACTTCAAAACAAGGATTTTCTGTGGATTATTTTCCAAATCCCAATTTCAGAAGCCTTTTCCTGTCTAGCCCCTTCCCACCAGCAGATGGCAGTGTTATGGGAACATAAACATCAAACTCTGCATGAAGTGACACGCTTGGCCTCAATGTGACCCAGACCACCAGACCAAAAAAAAAAACACAGAAAAATCTACCTCTTCCCACGCCCCCGTCACGCTTGAGACACAGTAGGGGTTCCCTTAGAATTCCGCTAGAAGGTTGTTATAGTTATTATAGTTGTTACTGTTATTTACAAACGGAATAAACTAGCTGTGCTACTGGATGGAGATTAACCTAAGAGCTAATACAGCTAATTAAACATCAGTATAACATCATTATAATGCAGCATGCGCTTGGTAGGAGGCAGCCTGAAAGTAACGGTGCTTAAGGACCAAGTCTGAATGGGAAAGACCCAGGAGAGGTACTGCTGCAGCACGCTGGAAAACAGGCCGGAGGACTCCAGCAAAAAGGTCACATGCCCAATAAATTTATGGCTAATGATTGTCACTTTGTGTGAAAGTGTCAACACAATGTCCTACAGTACCTACTAGGACAACTACTACTAGTAATAATAATAATAATAATAATAAATATTAACTGAACCTATTATTAGCACTATATACTATCTTAACAAATACTAAGAAATAAGTACAAGTGCTGCAAATGAAGGAAGACTAGCATTAAGTCTTTCGATGTTTACACATATCTCACACCAAACACGCTGATTATGCTTCTCAGAGAAGAATGCCCACAGAAGCCATCACATCCCTTCAGCTCCATAAATCTCCCAGAAGCAACTGCAATTACGCTTCTGACACTGAGACGAGATGCCAGTCATCCATCCATCCATCCATCCATCCATCCATCCATCTTCCAGCCTCTTATCCATTTTGTGTTATATACTTATGGCGCACATATGTAATGCACGTATGTACGTTTTTTTTGCACGTATGTACGTGGCATGCTTGTCAAGTGCACAAGCCGTGTATGTCTGGCCAACTCCCACTAGACAACTCTGACCGGCATCTCGAAAATCTGGCCCTTCTTTGAAGTGTGTCCCACCAAGCCGTCCACTTTGCCGTGTGATTTCCTTAAGGCCACTCTAAATCTATTCACCAGACCCTCCACCAGCTCCCTCTGCTTCACCAACCTTGCTCAGCCCATAAACCGTATTATCCTAACTTAATATATCCCCCGTTATCTAAAGATCCTGCTCTGCCCCAAGTGACCATCAGCTTATCCAGCCCTCACACTGGGCTCCTGATTATATTATTTTAAGGAGAATGAGAATGGAATCGATGGAGGAAATGAGTCTTAGAAACTGACTGTGGGCGGGATCACCACAGGCAGCCAATCACCAGCCTCTTTAGCCCACTTTTAACCCTTCGGTTACTTTTCTGGTTCCCAATTAGTTACAATAAGTTCACCTACTATGGGGTTGGAGGACCCCTGTTACAACATTACGGAAGAAAAAAAATGTTGTTCTTTCACTATTCAGTGCTCTATGTTTATACTGTTATTTTTTGCAGTTTGCTTTATTTTACTTTAATTTGGCCAATTGACTAATAACAAATTCCTTGTACTTGGACTGTACAGGGCAAATAAAGTTAATTCCGATTCCGATTCTGTGTTGCACCCATAGCATGTTTAATGGTTACAGGTGTGAATCCGCCCTTCTGCATGTCATTTCCAAATTACCTTTAGATGTTGAGAACATTTTGTACTGTTTAGATGTTTGTTTCGAGAAAAGCAGGCTTGGAATCATGAAATTTCTGCCATGCTGGATGCATGTGCAGTTCACAGGCACTCCTTCCAATAAAAAATACAAAAAACCCCTTTAACCAACTGGTCTGTTGTCCTGTGTGGCTAATTATGACCGAATCCACTGCACTTCCCACACGCTGAAACAGCATGAGGAACTTATTATCTCAGAGGGAAACAGAAGAACTGCTTCTTTCAAATTCCTCACCACTGTGTGACCTGTTTAATTATCTCATTACCACAAAAGCACCTGTGTGTCCAAGACAATTATACCAATAATCCCACGGCAGCTTTTTTTTGTTGGAGAATTTTCTGCTTAACCCTTCGCTAGCCAGAGGTTGGTCCGGAAAAACTAATTAATAACACCGGAGCCAGTTAAAAATGATGCATAGCCGTAACTTGTTTTCCTGGTCAAAGGAAGGCCACACGGAGATTCTCTGCCCTCCACGTATGACATGTCAGCCCACGCTGGGGCATCAGAATATATTTACATGTATTGCGACTTCTACACGCTTCCATTACCAGTATGGTAATTGTGTTAACAACAAGGGTTTTCCAAAGACCAGCTATGCCCCCCCCCCCCCCCCACCCCTCCTCTCTTCAAACTATAGCTGCGGTCTGGCTATTATCGTTAAAATTTCCCTGATGATTGTCGGCCCCCTAGCCTATTGTCGATCCTAAAGACAATATTGAGATATACGTTTCAGTATACAATGGGTTCAATTTAAATTGCGGTTGACGAAAATATGGGTGTGATACATTGTAACTGTCACTACAGTAGATCATATCCTTGTAAGAAACAAAATACTGTCTCTGGGGATGGGAAGAAATTATAATTGTTGTTTTAATTAACATATATAACAGACAGAAAGGTCAAGGCATGTAATTTAACACTGTATTTTGAAACGAATATGAATTGGCAGGTTTTTCATACCTGTGACAAACATTTTTTTTTTTTTTACTTCTGTTACTTAGGAAAATCTTAGATTTTTATATCCTGTCGATTATTGTCAAAGAGGCGAAAACCTACATAGGAAATAATTCAACTTAATCGGGTGTTAATCCTAATTGGCACAGAATTAAAACAGACACAGAAGAGGATTGCCACGCTGCGTGTCGGGCTTCTTAGGGTGGGTTGGCTGCGTTTCACGCCTGCACCCAGCCCCAAAGTCCTGGGGCGAGGATGCTCAGCATATGAGATATGTCTGGGACCATGCCAAAGTTTCCCTGTTGGCAGTGGGAAGGTGAGAGTGACGATGTGATCCTGTAACCTTTATGGTGCCGGTTTGCATCCCAGGAGGGCCCTTGTGTAGGAAGCTTATGTCCAGAGCTTAACTGGAATTCATCCATCGATCATCCATCTGATGGTGGGCTGCAGGCTGTCCCAGGCAACCTAAGGCAGTGTGGACCCCCACATGATCCACGTTTTTGCTCCCTGACTGGGAGGGAGCAAAAACGTGGATGGTTTGGGGGTCCCGAGGACTGGGTTGGGAACCACAACCCTAGGGTACAAGGCGCAGGAACACCCCACCCCTGATATGATGCCAGTCCATTGAAGGCTTAACTGGAATCACCCCAGTAAAACACCCATAAATGGGAAGGAATTGTAGGCATTTGTGCAAGCATCGGCAAATCCATTAAGATAAATGTTCAGTCACATGGCTGTTGTATTAGCTATTTAAAAATCTGCGCTATGTGACTGCAAGCTCTCGGGCCCCTCACCACGGAACAACATTGCTGAGATTTCTGCTACCTGTGTTTTTGTCTGCAAATATTTTCCGTCCTACTTAAAAAAATATTCCAGTGACTTTCTATTCCATAAACACTGCTTCTTCGACAGCATGTGTGATACAGTCTTAACTTAAAAACCTGCCTTTATGAAGAAACGGGAAAATATTTTATTTGAAGAAAAATTACATGTTTAAATTTTGTAATGTTTTATTTGATAACTTGCTGTCTTCCCAAGAGAATAACATTATTTCATAATTTTCTATGGTTCTGTTTCTTATACCCAAAAGAAGACGGGAAGTCTGCCTTCTCTATTCTGTACAACATTCCAGTTTGAAGGCAAACGCCATAAAATTCCATTTAAGGGTTAAACCCCTCTTTGTTGCCATGGAGATTCTGATAGGCTCTCTTTACTACTGGCTTGACACAGAACAAGAGAGGAAGGGGAGTGTTTGAGGGGGAAGGGGAGTGTCAAATGACTGCCTTGAGAGGCCATTGGTCAGATGAGGTCACATGCTGCCTTTTGGAACGCTAATTCATTTACCATTTTTTTTTTCCCTCTTCCCCAGCTCCTCCTCCCGTCTATTCGAGAGACTGTGAGACAGGACAAGATCCAGAAATGGTGGAGGATAACAGGAAAGAAACAAACATTTAAGCTGAGGAGGAAGACAAGTCCCAGGCAAAAGGTATGTTAAGTTGGCTTTCTTTCTTTGTGTAAGTGGAGTGGTGCATGAGACCTCATTGCCGTGACTTTAGTTTTAGCTTGCCGCACGCGTCCGCATTAGTGTAGTTCTCCATGCATGCGGGACCCTTTGTAATGAGGGAAAATTTAGTGTCTCCCTGACAGAATAATGATGTTCAGTTCAGTCACATTTACCCACCTACGGCAAGTTATGTGAGGCCAAAGATGTAGACGAGAGATCTTTTTTATTCTCTCTTACACTTAATTATTTTAACGATGTCCTGACCCAGCTTACCCTGAAGATGCCAGAGAATCCTGCGCTGTCGCCTCTGTATGTCCTGTTTACCTTGCCTTCTGATGCGCATGCAAGTCTGCTTGCGTAAAAAAAGAACATTACAGCTGTTTCTCTCCAGAGGGCTCAGGGCTGGTGTCCACGGGGTCAGGCCCCAAGAGGGGGAACATTTATCTTGACAAGTGTGTCATGTCATTAATGGTAAGCAGTAGGCTTGTCCCACCTCCCCCCACGCCAACTGGCCCACAAAACCCCCACTCCGTCTTTCCGTTTCACTTAAATCAGCGCGCAATGCTTGAAACCAATACACGGCGGGCAGTGAGTTGGCCGAGAGGTCAGGAAGTTGTACCTGTGGTCAAAGGGTCGCCAGGTTAAGTTTCCACGCGGCGGCCTCTGTTGCACTTTGGATCACCGTGAGTTTGCACACTGTCCGTAGTCTGTTTACGTGCACCGGTTAGATGCGAACGTGTACGTGTCAGGAGAGGCGTCTCCCGCTGTGTGCCACCCTCAAGCATCATCGCTGTCTTCACATCTTGCAGACACTCATGTCTCGACAGCCCTAACAGCCGGACGGGAGGGGCAGGGGCGGGGGATGACCCCGTCCCCGTCTCAACCCGCAAACGCCAACCCAACGTCGCCGTGAGACCTGGATGCACCCGCTCTCCTCTCTACGGCCTTAGCTTCCTGACACTAAAATCCTGCATGATGGTGTCTTTAGGCAACTTCCTGCAGATAACACAGGCGTCAACGGTAACGTTGTAAACACATAAACCCCCACAGCAGCTATACCGAGGTGAGCTCCTGCTTACCTCTGTAACACGGTGCCTTTGGGGAGGAATGTCCATCAGGAAGAAGCAGGTGTGTGGGGGGGGGGGGGGGTCCTCTAAGGCTGTTCACCGCAGCTCATGAAGGTGCCAACCGGACCAGATTCCCCATGGTCTCTGCAACGTGCGGCTCTCCATCCAACCTCCAATGTGACACTTGACTTTCTGATAACATGGAGGCACTAAGAATCTCAGTCTCATCCCTGGATCTGCACACAACAGGGAGAATCAGTCGTGTGGAAAATGCAGCCGATTGAGCATAAGATCCAGAAAATGCACTCCGACGCTTACATACATGTCCTGAAAAGCCACAGCAGTTGCCAACTCTTAATCTCAGCCTTTTGGCTGGTGCTGTGATCCTCTAGGCTTTAAGTACTTTAAGTACTTCATTTAAATCATTCTGCCGTGAAAACACCTTAAGTTTCTAGTCAGGGAATCTTTTTCTGTAGCCTAAGTAGGCTAAGTGGTGATGTAGCAGATTCAGTATTTTATTTTTAAAACATACCTTAATTGTCAATGTAAAAATACAAAAATAATTTCGTGTCTAATAATTACTCTGGACCTACTCAAGCATTTAATTAACATTAAACAGGGAACACAGTTTCATAACGTAGCCTACTTGACATCCTTGGAATTTTCTATCGAAAATAGACTAGACGATGTTTTCACATCAATTTTAAAATAAAATAAAATAAATTAAAAATATTTTGGACTGTAAAAGCAGCACTAATAGATTAATGTTAGGTAAATCTACCGTGAGCTAAAATGGTACGTACGATACTGCGGGCGAGTTCCTGCTATAGCGCAATTTCGGCTCTAAAAGCCGTATAGCTGCCCTAAAAGCCACCAGCCCACCGGGTGAATGGAGATCTACTTCCATCTACTTCTGAGAAGTTTTCACACGCCATGGTGTTTGCAATTGAGCCGTGCCTCCCGGGTAACAGGATGACAGTGTCGGCAGCCGCTCTCCGGCTCCCCGGCTGGGCGCGGAGCTGCCGAACCCGGCGCCTGGCGCTGCCCGCAGAGCCAATTTAGCGCTTGTAATGCTGCGTCGGATTATGTTTAGCAAACTAAATCACAGGCTGATCTCTTAAATCTGTGCTGATAAGGTTATATTTATTTGTTTTGAAATGGATTCCTGCTAATACCCTCAAGTAAATATACCACCAAAATTGGTGCTGTTTCTAGTTTAATGCAGGGTTATACAACGTTACACGAATGCTTCTGGACTTGAGTAGTTAAGGACGTTAAAGAGATTTATGTGTATAAAAACTGAATTTAAATATTTGTTAAATAGTATCAACTCAGTGAAATAGCGTGACGGGCATGCTACCGTGATTATATTAAGTTCCATTCTATTGTAATTTATACTTTACGGGCGATATTTTCTGTCACAAATTTAATGCGCGGCATAAAACGTATTGTAGCGTTTGAAAAACCTGTTCTGTCAGTACTTTTTTTTCTTTCACAAAATTGTAAAGTAAACAGGATGGTCCGTGTGTCAGGGTATTGTGGAAATTGGCCTTGGGGCAGTATGGTAGTGTGAAAAGCACTCAAACAAAGAACTAGTTTTATTTCACTCTTTAAGTTATTTCCTTTCATCTGGCTAACAGCAAATAAACTATTTTCCCCCTGGATTACGGGGTGGGGGGGGTTGTTAAGAGCATTTTCTGCATTTTTAGAAGGAAGTGTAGTTCCTCGGCAGTTGCTTCGGAGGAAATATCAGCCGTTTTTTGTTTCAACAGTGGTTTCGGCGGGATGGTTGAATGACTTTAGACTATAAACGGAATATAGTGTGTCATTGTGTAACTTTGACTCCTAACTGAGTGGTGAATGGGGCACGGAGGAAGTCAAGACATTGATCTCTGCATTGCTGCTGCCCGTATAGATAAGTGCGACTGCTTGCACGTCTTCATCAGCCTTGAGATCTGAGGGCAATTCAGCGTGTCTGATATTGGCACACCATTGCATAGTACTGTGTTACATTGCAGGGTTTCTGAAGTCTCAATGAATGCATTTGACGTTCCTGCTTGCTTAATGTACTGATTGTACAGACCCCTTAAGCTGCATTTGGAGGAAAGTGTCTGTCAAATAAATGGAGGTGAACGTGTGTGTGACACAGGGACAGCGGGTGGTGACAGACATCAGGCAAATGGTGACGGAGTGGAACCGTGTGCCGTTAAATGAGGGAGAGGGTCAGCTCACACTTTTAACACTGGAGTTTATCTAAAACAAAAAAACGATAATAACGGACTGTGATGTGGCGTGAGAAGCGGCCCTTAACCAGCACAGCTCGCCTTACCGGCGCTCGGCTGTTCGTGCAGATCGACGTTTTAACGGCACCATCTGAGTTAAGTTTCTCACTTAGGGTTCTCCTGGGACTCTCTCCTCAGTTACTCCAGCTTCTCAGCAAACCGCGCTACAGGATGCAAAAGCAGGGCTACCCTCCCCCCCCGTACTGAACCTCACACGCCAGCCAGGTGTTCTTGCTTCACCTGAGTGATCCATACGCTCAGGGCCAGATTCCCACCTTGGGGGTCCTCCAGCCCACAGCTGGGAGACATAAATCTCCTGTTGTTAGCAGAGCTCTGGCCTTTGGCCCTGGTTTGGTTCCGCGTCTCCCTTGCCTGACCTATACCTTTCCTTGTAAGATATACCCCTTATGCCGATGCTCTGATCACTCACATTCAGGCTTGTTTCAGCATCTGCGTCAAACGTGTTGCCACATCTGTCTGCTTCTTTGACGCTTGACCCGTACGCAAGAGCAGGAAAATTCCAGAATATCAGATCTGTCCTTCTGCCCATGAGCGAAAATGAAGGCCGCTGGGAAAGAACCACAATAATAAATTTGGTGGACTTTAGCAGGACAAAAAGTTGTCTTTCCTGCACAATCTTTCTCTGAATAAAATTCTTGCGTGCTCGCACCTGGGAGTGCACAGGATCGTCTTAATTCAGTGTTTCGTTACGAGCTGGAAGCCTAAAGAGAGATGGACCACTTTGCTATTGTGAGTTCATCTGCATGCATAACATGTCAACAGCACTGCTTACAGTCACTGTGTCTGAAGGTCGAGTGTGAGAGTACACTAACAAGGCGTCTCAGACATCTTCCGCTCCCTCTGCGTGCGTGCTTTGTGCACGTGTTACCCTCCTCGCATATAAATGTATGTCCATGTGGCGGCCAGCAGTGAGATGAAATGATCGAGATAATCAGATATGGATAGTGGGGTACAATGAGGTGCACAGGTGCCAACAGAGATGAAATATAAAATGTCTGGTATCACCATGGTGCAGTCAAAGAGGCCTGCTGAGAGACGTCGAATGTGCATGCCTGCAATACCTCATGGGCCTGGATGGGCCCAGAACAGTGTGGGTATGGACCGGCCCTGCTAACGGCTAAACGGGTATGGACCAGCCCTGCTAACGGCTAAACGGGTATGGACCAGCCCTGCTAACTGCTAAACGGGTATGGACCGGCCCTGCTAATTGCTAAACGGGTATGGACCGGCCCTGCTAACTGCTAAACGGGTGTGGACCGGCCCTGCTCATTTCTAAACGGGTATGGATCAGTCCGGCAATTTCTTATTGGGTCAGCCCTGCTAATTGCTAAACGGGTATGGACCAACCCTGCTAATTGCTAAACGGGTGTGGACCAACCCTGCTAATTGCTAAACGGGTATGGACCGGCCCTGCTAACTGCTAAACGGGTATGGACCGGCCCTGCTAACTGCTAAACGGGTGTGGACCGGCCCTACTAATTTCTAAACGGGTATGGATCAGTCCGGCAATTTCTTATTGGGTATGGATTGGCCCTGCTAATTGCTAAACGGGTATGGATCAGTCCGGCAATTTCTTATTGGGTATGGATCAGCCCTGCTAATTGCTAAACGG